CTTGTTAGTCGAAGGGCCCCAGAAAGTGCAGTTACTGTCTGAGTTTCTTCAATCGGTTTTTACGGAGGAGTCCTCAGAAGACGATAAGCAGTTTGAAATGGACCGAAACAGCCAGGAGCTCCAAATACGCCAAGATACTGCCGTCATTGAAACCGTTGCCTTTTCCGTCGAAGAAGTAAGACGTGTCCTCAGTCAAATAAAACCAGATAAGTCTCCTGGACCCGACGGAATTCCTGGTCTGATACTTAAGGAGCTATCAAAGGAGCTGGCGAAGCTTTTTCGACAGGAAGGCTGCCATCAGAGCGGAAGACGGTTAACCTCATTCCCTTTCATAAAGGCGGTGGCAGGATGGCAGCAAGCTGTTTCAGGCCTATTAGCTTAACCTGCCTCTCGTGCAAAACGATGAAAGCTCTAGTAAAACGTGCCATACAGCAATTTTGTAAAAAAAATAACCTCTTGCAGGATTTTCAGCATGGCTTCCGAAGAGGACGTTCCTGCCTCTCAAATCTGCTAGCTTGTCTGGAGATCTGGACCAGGGCCCTAGTAGAGGGTTTTGAAGTTGATGTCGTGTACATCGATTTTCGCAAAGCCTTCGATACTGTTGCGCACCAACGCCTTCTTCACAAATTGAGCGCCATCGGCATCTGAGAGATCTTCTGAACTGGATTAGGGCGTTTCTGGTTGGTCGGAAACAACGTGTCTGTATCGGGGATGATATGTCAGAATGGATGAATGTGACCAGTGGTGCGCCTCAAGGCTCAGTTCTGGGACCATTGATCTTCATCCTTTACGTTAACGGCAGCCTTCAGGAACTCGACTGCGGCAAAATAATGTTTGCAGACGATTTTAAGCTCTAGCAAGTCATTAAGGGACCGAATGATCAGAGATCCCTTCAAGATAATCTGCACCGACTGCAAGCGTGGTCGAAGAAATGGCTTCTAGATTTCAATATGGAGAAGTGTGCCATCCTTCATCTGCGTCCAACCAACTCTCATTCAAATGAGAGGCTGAGGACAGATCACCTGAAAGATATAAGGCTCCCCGTAGAATCTTCACAGAAGGATCTCGGGGTTTGGATACAGAACAACCTGAAACCAACACTGCAGTGCCACAAGGCTGCAAAAAATGCCATGGGAGTGCTGCATGCAATTAAAAGGGCGTTCGTTACCTTTGACCAGGACCTTTTTGGGAGAGTTTACGACACCTTTGTTCGGTCCCACTTAGAATAAGGCATACAAGCATGGCGACTATGGCTGGCAAAGGACCAAACATGCCTCGAACGGGTGCAACGTCGGGCAACAAAGATGGTAAACGGTCTAAAAAGCCAATCTTACACAGACAGACTGAATTGCCTTAATTTATTCCCTCTGTGTTACAGGCAGCAAAGAGGTGATCTTATCCTCGTCTACAAGATAATACATGGCCTTGAGTATGGACTTAAATTTGAGGACATGTTTCAGTGCCACCTTTCACCGAATCTTCGTGGTCACTTGATGAAGTTACGGGCAACAATGTCCAGGCTGAATCTTCGTTCTGAATTTTTCACGCAGAGGGTAGTAGAGAAATGGAACTATCTCCCTCGGTCAGTCGTGGAGGCGACATCCCTGTAATTCTTCAAGAAACGCTTGGATGATTATTTATGTCCCCTGTTTTCCCTCGACAGTCTGAATCTGAGCTAAATGCCCCGGTTCCCCACATATTTTTTCTGTGACAATGCTACTCAAATGAATCAAGTACTGTTTATATTGCAAATATTTTCATTTTTACTGTACAGTTATTTCTAACGAGCTGACATGTAATCAATAGGGTTTTCAAAGGCTTTGCCTATCATCCTTATCAAATAAACTGAAACTGAAACGTCTGGTCTGAAACAGCCGTCAGCCTACTTAAAAATATTACGAGGACAAACCAGTCAACCCCTGGATAGCGACTCAGAGCAGTTAGCACAGTACCTACTAATAACTTTAATGCGGTCGTTTATTTTACTCTAACTTCGACGCTGTCATGCACCTGAAAGTTGCAAAAAAAGACTGACACAGTTCGCCAAGGTATTAGATGACTCGCGATTATGATTGTTCGAAAGTTTCTAGGTATGTTTTAACGGTTTTCGCAAGCGTACCAACGCTGTCCGCACTATCATTCTGATCAACTAGGTCAGATAATGATCACATGCGTACGGATTTAAATCGGAAGTAGCGTACAAGCTCTAGTGTTTAGACAAGGCGCTTATCACATTGTTATACTTGTTGCGCTGCAGAAACTCTGCAGTTTAGGATGTTCAGAATCAGTGAACAAAAAAGAAGTAGTTAAAGAAAAGCAAAAAATTCTGACACCATGTGCGACCTCGCAGCGTTCTCCGCGAGCTTTGCTTTTGAAAATTTCATTCTTTAAATTTTGACTTTTAGTGTCTTTATAAATAAATGTGCTAAGCAAGGCTAAATCACTCAGAATGAAATTTTGATACAAACGCCTGAACTTTATTTCATCATTTTAGGTGTAAGCGGTTGTGTATACTTTTGATAGTCTTGTAAGTGATAAACCCATTAGTTGGGCACAGTAAGTAGGCTATCCGGGAAGCGAAGATAGAAGTATCCAAAAAGAAATAAGAACAAAGTCGTCAGCAGGTCAAAATACACGTGCTAATTCTTTGACTTATTCAAAGCTATGCCAAGTTATTTAAGAAGCGTATTATAACTGATTGGAACCAAACGGACTTAAATGTCACTACAGTCTCTTGACGCTTAAAATAAAATGACTATGATGATTCTTGTACCACTGGCTGCCGATTGCCAATTTCCCATTTTTGCGCGAAAAAACTAGCTGTAGCTGCCGGATTTCGACCCAAGCCCTTATATCAAATTTTTGACTTTCGCACAGAATTGAATCCAATGATTTAATTTGACTAAGTGTAAAACCTTCTCTTTCCCGTGTTCTTTGCAGTTTGCTCATCAGTCTCCAGCGATGCTCATAAAAGACGGACTTCTGAAAGACACTAAGAACGATGTAGGCCGCATATCTATTTTCGAGAGTTGGGGCAAAGCTCTAAAGAGATTGTAGTAAATCGGCCGCAGTGGATTATCGTTTCACTGTCCCCCTTTGCAGTCGGATAGGGGGTTGTGAACCTCAAGTAACTGCCCGTATTCGCCCTTCACTATCATCTCCTTGTCTCTGCGGACAATGCACTCCAAATTTACAAGCCTGTAGTTTGTCTTTAACATCCGGTTACCTCTCTGCATAACGAAGTAATATGCGCTGGTCTTGAATCGGCAGGAAATGTCTCAGTGTCAAATGAAATCCAATGGTGCATTAACAAGTTGCGGTAAATCCACGGATGCAACTTAGCGTACATCCACACAGGTCAAAGAGGGAATATTATATAACAGTCTTTAATGGTGAGAAAAGGCTAACACAGAATGACTGATAACTGCTGCTCGCATTTTACTAGGCTGAAATTCCGGTAGAAGAGCCAAAAAAAGGACTTCGATCTTCTTGCATGGTTTTTGCGTCATTTTGGGCCACTCGTTCTGTTCTCCAATACTAAGAGAAATTGCATTTGTTAGGTCCACTGCTTGATTTATCTCAGTTTCTTTGTGTATCTTTTGTTTTCCTAGACTGTTTACATTTGTCTTATTAGACCCGCTAAACCTCCCAACCACCCACTCTATTAGGCGTCCATATGACTTCTTCCTAACTTGGTAGGACTACTTTGGGCTGTTTCCCCTTCAACATCACTCTTTCTTTTCAGCTGCATCTTAGTTTACTTCATCAGTAGTCTATTCATGAATAGACAAAACATATGCATATGTTTTGCTTTAAGTCAAAACATAATTATGGTATCTAACGATGTAGCTAGACGGATAAATTTCTGATATTACACGCCACAGGCGACTAATAATCCTCAAGCGGAACCGCCCGTCGGCCTGTCTGTTGTGTCTTGGTGGCCGCAACTGTTCTTGCAGGACTAACCAAGAGGCCCTGATCATGGTTTGTAGCTCTTGGATTGACAGTATACTGCGCAATTGCTTGCATAAAAATGCCTGCTGAACCCAGCAAGTTTAATTTTTTTATTCGCTACGGGTGAAATTGCAAAACGTACATCAATTAATGCAGACTAGATCTTTACGGCGTCGCCCTCACTACCTTCTGTGCCTATAGGATTATTTGCATGGTTGTCTCAAGGCGTCTGGAAATCGGACTAGAGATGATGACTGGCCAAACGTCCCGTCCTGGTCTTTGTGTGTGATAACTCTTTGGTAACTTTTTTGCCTACCGATTCCGACTGCCAATTCGCGGTTTTTTCCGTTGGGGAAAATTACCCCCCGTGTACCTTTCGGCTTGTGGATCCTGAGGCACTGCAGGAGCAGACTTACATCAAGCTTGTGGAAGGACATAAGAGAGCACATATTATTTGACTCATTACAACTTCCAGCATTGATTGTTCTGAGGTTTTCTTTGGCTTTATTCTTGCTGATGGGACTAGAAGACTGGGTACGGAATGTGTTTACAACTGATAGATGAGATAGTTTACACGGATATTCTTCCACACGCTGTTGGTGTAATGCGGAATTGTCCCACAAGACCGCTATTAGCCATTTCCAGTATTTAGGTATTTCCAGTAGAGACCGGACAAGACTTTAGGTAGCGGACAAATCAAACGAGGAATCTTTAAATCAACTTCTCTAGTGCGAATTGTGCTCCCAAAGTTGCGTCACCACATACATAGTCATGCAAAGTACACTACGTAGGCAGTAATAAAAGTCGAAATTGTTTCCTCTGTGTCCTTATTGACACGCTATAAATTTCTTCCCAAGACGATAGTGAGAGGCTCTCCAAAAACTACGACCGTCATATCTACAGACCGAAAAACAGTTTTTCCCATTACATGTCACGCCATAGCTGACATTTCCACTTTTGCCCTAGATAACTGTAAGACAACATGCATTGAGACGTCAAATTTATTCACCGGCCATTTATTTTTTTTCTTGGAGGTCTGTTGCATCATGCAGGCCGTAATTTTAGCACACCAAGACTCAGTGCATCTACGACAGCTACTTGCAAGCGGCCTATCCAGCCACTTACCGCTGTCGAAACGCACTGTTCTCTCGAACCTGCTTAACGTGTTCCGTTCAGCGGGAATCCTCGACGTCATTATCCTCTGCCGACCGAATCAAGCGGCCCAACTTGAGAAAGGTCTCAAAGACTCATCGACTGACGCCTCGTCGCGCTTGGCTTTCGTTGAGGTTCCTGCAACTTTGAGCCTTCCGGAATGCATCTATCGTATTCGCGACCGCATAACGTCACAGTACCTCTTTGTCACGTATGGCGATCTGGCCGTCACCGATCTGAACGTGCGTCGACTTTTTCTCGCAATGGTGCGCACGCGGGCCTCTGTCATATCTGTCGTCTCACCCTACACCAAAGACCCCAAACTCCTCAAGTCCACCCCTCACGATTTACTTGTGGTGGACCAAGTGTCAGAACAGCTTGTTATGTATGTTCCCGACGCGGATATGAAGAAACAGGTTCGGTTTCCAAAGCAGGTGTTAGCCTCACACAATCACCTAGTCACTTGTTCGGACTACCATGACGTGGGGTTCTACCTCTTCTCCAACTTCGCGCTGAAGTTGCTTGAATGGATCAGGTTCGTCTCTCCGTACCGCTTTCTTATTCTTCTTTTGTGAAGGGATGACAGTGGAGCAAAGAAGAACTTTCTGAAGCATCTGGTCAACGTTGAACAGTATCGACCATGTCCTTTTGACACAAACCAGCGTAATCTGTTTACGTCGCTGCTGACTTAAAATATCCTTATTTAGTCTGTGGAGATTTTCCGCCCGAGCTGAAACTAGACGAATCCGAAATTCCAAAGTCCCTGAAGGTGTGCACGATTGTACACCAGGACAAAGCTGTTTGTCGGAGGTTAGATTCACCCGCCAGCTACTTGGAGGCTTTAAAGTTGGTAGGCATATGTTTATTGTATGCAACCTATTTTTTTCTCAAAAAAACTAAATTGTTTTCTCCTATCAAAAATAACCACAAGTAATGTGCTGTCAGGCTGCCCTTGCCATTCATTTTTACTTCATTCGGGCTCGTCCCCTGCTGACATAACTGCTTTCTTCATCACTCAGTCTTACTGTTGGCTGAGCTGCGAATAAGCCCTTACGTAGAAGTTGTCACTCACACTTGCCTGAATTTGTAAAATCGGCTTTGGTCGTCGAATCACAAAGGGCCGACATTTCTCATTTGACCTCGAGTCCAGATATACGCGCTATATAAAAGTGATCCCCAGGTCCGAAATATTCTGTCCCAATGTTTCACGCACCTGCTTAATACCTACGATTTTTGTGCTTTATTGGGTATATTCGATAAAAATCAAGGCCAAAGAAATGTCAACCGAGATCCCGAAACGGGCTTTAAAGCAGAAGAAGTCTTTCAATGCAAAAATTTGCGGGACGTAGGTTGCCTTAGTCCGTACGGCGTGGCACACTAAGCTTCTCTTACAACTTTGCGATCTTTGTCTGGAAGGAACAATTTCATATGCATTCATTTCTTCGATGGCTTTTGAGATTTTTGTGTGATGGCTTTTTGTCTTAGGGGGAGTTAATGTAATCTTGCTGTGTTCAGCCACTTTTTCCATAATATTTCATCCAAAATCGATGTTAAAACTGTTTAAGAAAGCATGCGCTTCAAATACTTTTCAAAATGGACAAGTTTTTTCTTCTTATTGATTTTCCTTATTTTTTGGGCTACATGTTCGTTCCAAACTCTATCCATAAACCTTCTAACATTGTCCTACAGGAGCATTCAGTCCACAAAGTACCGTAGTAGGTGTGGAATGTGCGTCACATTCTATTCCTGCTAACTTCGTAGATTGGTCCTAAGCCGCCAAGATGGGACCGTTTCTAGGGGAAACTTTTCATTCTCTATGTCCTCTTCGTCGATAGCTTCTGCCTTACATAAACTCCGTGTTAGGCCAATAATTATTCCATCCTCCACCCGACCTGTTTTTGTTCTTCCCAGGTCCGCGAGAAATACCCCTCGCCAGACCAATCTTCGGACGCGGCTCCCAAAGATGCGCCTGGACGTGCTCCCGTCGCTGATTGTTCGGTTGGTGCTGACTGTGTCTTTGGAAAGGGGATCTTGGTCCGCTCTTGCATCCTTAGTGCTCGATGCAAAATTGCGGACGATTCGCGGGTTCTCAGCTCCGTTCTTCTGCCTGATGTAACAGTCAAGGAGGGGTAAGCTTATCTTTTGCAGTTGTCCAAGCGCTAGGGCTATTCTCCGACTTCTGCCCAATGAGACCTTTTGTTTGCACTCTAGATGCAAAATTACTAACTGTCTCATCGGAGAGGGCGCCGTGATTGAAGAACATTGCGTCCTCAAGGATTGCACTGTCGCAGCCCGTCAACAGGTGCCGGCCCGTGTGCAGATGCAGGCTGAGAATTTGGGTTTCTCCGAGATTGATGTAGACCTCGTCTAGCCGCCACCGTCGCCGCCATTGTCACCGACTCTCTCCTAGGTTGCAAATTGACTTTTGCCCTGTCTCTCCCCCCCCCCCTCCGTCGCCGCCGCCGTATGGTCGTCCTCACGCCACCTGTGTTTCACTTCCTTTGTTGACCTTTCTACTTGCAGATGTGAAACTGGGCTTACCAGCCTGTCTTGCTCATCTTTTGCGCAACATAATGCACCGAGGAGTTGCATTTTTCACTTACCGCCTTCTTATAACAGAAACTGTAGGCCTTTTGCCGAAGAACTGTACCCTCACGCTGGGAAGAAGGCGGTTATGTTAGAGCAGTGGTCGGGGAAGTAATCGCTTCATACTTCCGTAGCGTCTAAGTAGTGAGTGTACTCAACGTGCTGCAATCATCAAACCATACAGAAAACAGAAGGCAATAGAGAGGGAGGAGTTTGCAATACTCAGCAATCTTAGTCACTGACGATGCTAGGGCGTGTGGTCGAGAGACTGGACGACTGTGACTTTGAATACTCCTTCGTGCGCATCTTGCAATACCGTACGTTCAATGCGTCCAGAAAGGCTCGCTGGGAAGGTAACGCAGCGGGTGTGGAACAGGGATGCCAGGCTTCGTAGTGGTGTCGGTCACCCCTGTGTCTGGTTCGACTGTGAGAGTTAGTCAACCGACAGTTTGATTGGTCTTGGCCACGCCTAGAACCCTGTTGAACGTCAGCTATGCAGGTGTACATGTACAGGTTCATAGAGACAGTAATTTTGCTCCCTTGCTTCTGATAATTCGGCGCAGTGTCGAGTCAGGATTGCACTTGAATTCCTTATCGCCCTCCCCTGAGCTGGCGTTGTTGCATCTGATACAGACAAGAAAGAGCCCTTCTAAACTGCGTCAGCCGTCTTAGCTCAAGATATGCTAACAGTTTTTCACACCAGGGACGGACTGTTTCCCTTCACACTAGTTCTCTGTACTTCACTTGCGGGCTTACTTTCAGGCCGCATGGGGCGAGAACATCCGACTCTTTCTCGACTTTTCACGCGGCTTGGCATCTGCGAGCCTATGAGAGCAGCCTCGCTATTGCGCCAACGATTTTTTTTTTGAAGTCTAAACTTCGCTCTAGAAGAGAGAAGTAGGTGGAAACCGGTCGATCGTAGTTGTTTGCAGTTCATCTGAAACGCTGATGTCGGTGCTTGGGCTTGACCGTGTTATTAGAAACAGTGTGACCATTTGTATCTGGTGAAGGAGCAGGGGCCGAACACATTCGACTAGCCTGGCATAAAATATGATCTGATATCTGACTGTTGCCGACTTTTGGGGCTTATCCCCTGAATCTGAGTCAAGTAGTTCTTGCGTTCATTCTTAGCCGACTTAGCTGTCATTTGTCGTAGTCTGAAGGTCACACAGAGTCTCGTTGATGAATGGTTCAGGCGCAAAAACTAGGTTAGCAGGAAGGGTGGAAGAAACGGAAGCGGCACGTAAGTTCGACACTACCACCCGTAGGTGTTCCTCGGAGCCATTTCAAGATAGCTGTGAAATGAGGAATAGTCCGCACCTCCCAGCATCCAGTGTTAGGTGTCCGATTTCTACTGAGTAGACCGACTTTTATGCCATTCATGTGTCGCAGTGGTCCGCGTTTGCGGAGCTAGCAGATCGCCACGGCCGCCATTGCAAGAGACGTAACAATAGGTCTGGCATGTACTGACCCCCGCGTCTTAGCAAAACTGCCACAGCTAGTCGGCGGTTACCTATTTCGGGGCCTTCACCAATGGCCCTGCGACCCACTAAAATACCGCGTAGCCTCCATTTCGGCCAACAGACAAGTCCGAAATGTGGATTTCAGTGGGGAAGCAATTGCATAGCCTAAACACAGGCCGCTTCTTTTAGATTCCTGCAGTCCCGACAAAAACTTGGTCATGAGACCGAAGGACTCAGAGCCACAGCAGGAAACGCCCAGAGTTGTTTGCCTGATCTGGTGCAGTTGCAAACAAAGCAACTACGTCGAAGAAACTGGGAGATTGCTCGTAACGCGAGAAGTCGAGCATTCATCAGTAGTGAGGTGGTATAGCGCTAGCGCTCGGATTCTCGCGAGAAATTAAAACTGCGTGATCTTCGAGCGGCTTCATTCGGCTCTCCGGTCCACGTTCAATTCGCAAGTGCTCTGACCTCTCGCCTCCGTGTTTTCTACCGCGATTGCCCGGTCAAAATTACTAGTCACGTGGAGGGCGCGCGGACGACTAAAAGTTACGGTGACAGCGAATCAAATTACCGAGTAATCGTCGAGCCAAGGATCAACAACTGATAAATCACACCTATTAGCGACCCAGGTGCGGACTGACAAACCATCCTCGCACCAAATACGACCCCCAGAGATGAACGCGAGTGTTATTAATTATCGTAGGCATGTAGTTGTCGGACCACTGTGTCCTGTAAATACTGTATCCCTTGTGCCTCTACTCTCCTTTTCTGCGACTGTCTCTCATGATGGGTTCAATAAGGAATCCGAAGCGTCAGGCCAATAAACTTCTTGCTCCAGCAATCGCATCTTCTGAACTGCTTCCTGGAACTCGCTTATTCGCTTCTATCGTAAAACCAGGGCCGGTTACAGTCCTGAATTGACAAGCTGAATGTGAGGGGTCTTCATTCTTATCAGTAGGAGAGTCAGTAGATTGCACTTTCGATAATTAGGGTTACCCCTAGCGGTCACTTACGAAATAGTACCGCGTTCAGGTCTGGCAGCAGGGCATTTGGGATATTCACACGTACTCATATATATTCGTACAAAGTGTCTACTCATTTGACTTAGGTAGCTTGATACATGTTTTTAAAGAGAGGCATTGATCGGGAGAGGTATATTGGTATGAGACTTCAATTTGTTATTTCTTCTGCCCACCTTCAGAGACTAGAAAGTCATGGTCAAAGGCCTCATTATATGGCTCACTTTATTTTATGCGCCTGCGTGACTGCCCCTGACCCGCATCCCATTGTGACCTTTGTCGCCCCCGCGCCGTGGCTGTCCCCCGCCAAGAAGGTTCGTAAAACCAGATAGGGGATGGCGAATTAACGTGGAAGTTGACAGAGCAGTCGGTGGACATTCCGGTTCCTTTTGACCTGCCACCTGGGAATCGTACTTTTACTCCAATTGTTATACATTACTAATAATCTCCGAGCCTCATTGCTGTTAACGACGCTTTCTTCCTTCCCCGTCTGGTTGGCTTCCAGTAGTACAAGCACATCTCTCTTGCCCTTGTCACCCACAGGGTCACTGGAAGAAGTCCTTTGTCTTTTATGGCTCCAGCTGCTAATCTAATTAATAACTTCGCGCTATAGACCGTGAACCCTGTTACCAACAACTCGGAGAAGTGGTACCTTGACGTGGAGAACACTGTTGTCCATTGTGTTAGCTCCATCTCCTATATTGCCTCCTAGTCCGGTGAAGGGCACCTAGGCCGCCGTTGAAGAACCATGCATTTATATCTTCGTCCTGCGCGCCGCCAGGTCGGACATCGCGACACACGGTCGGTTTTCTGCTGACCGAAAACAAAATGGAGCGATAAGTGCCAGTGTGTTTCTCGGCTAACCAGTTCGGGGGGAACTGTCCGCTCTCTTCTCCTATGACCTCGCCAATGTCGCAATGTTCACCGCTCCTCTACTTCCTACAATCACTTTGGCTAGCTTCTTCATGTCATAAATTGTGAAATCAGCGGCTTTTGTCTACGCCCTTTCTGCTGATTTCCTTGTCCGCAGTCAGTTTCTTGTCAGTTGCCCACGTAAACTTTCGCGCAGCCACCCCCCCGCCCCCATTGGTGGGTCCGAGCTCCCGCGTAAATCAAGTAAGCAGACGCTCCTCAGGCACTTAGGTTGGGGTGAGCGCTTATTCCCGCACCCAACCGAGGCTTGGCTGAACAGTGCACCAAACACTTCCACCATAATGTCGTCTGGATCAAGCAGTTGATTTGGCTGTAATGTCGCAATCTTTTGCCATTGTACTTGTCGTGAAGAGCATGCCGCTGATTGCGTCAATGGTTGTCTCTCGTTTTGTCCTGAAGTTTGGTAAGGTTTTGCGTCGGTGCTGGTCCCGCGTGCGTGTGCAAAGCCTACAATGATTGACTGAAGACGTATCCAAGCCTAAATCGGAGAGATTTGAACTGCTTGTCCATGATAAAAGCGCTCGTTTGTGCAAACCATACTGCTGAAATCAACAGGCACTTGGTTTACTAAGGGATGTTTCTGTTAGAAGAATTTTTAAATTAGCCAGTCACGTGTGTAATGTGGATGTGGACTGGTGCCTCTGCATGGTCGTTGTTTTGATGTGAAATTGTATGTTTACGATCACGCCTGTCAGTTCTATTAAAATTTATTAGGCACCGACCGGCCTCACATCATGCCACCTTGTGAAAACTGTTGTTCCTAAGACGTCCCCATCGGTGAAATCAAGCAAAATCCAGTTTCCCTTGTTGAATCCCATCTCATTTAACTCAAACGAGTCAAGGATAACACGAATTCCTAGAAAACTGTTTTAGAATCTATACGCAGAATGTAGGCGGTTAACAAACCGTCAAACCGCCATGCAGCGGCAAAACATCGGCGAAACACGCGTGTGTGGGCTTTTGACTAGTACCTGTGCTGTTAGTATGGTATCACCTTACCCTAAAATTATTATCATTGTTACTACCATTCACTAGCGGTCAGATAATTTGAGGATGGCTACAACAAACTCGAGGAATGGTGCTGACCGGTTCTGTAGTTATAGTTTTTCCCGACTTTCTCTGTCTCTCTTTCGTTCTCACCCTCTTCTTTCCATAATCATATCAAAGTAGCTAGTCTATGCGGAAACGGGTGGGAGATTAGCCTTCGTACGGTGGCCAACCTGACGTATTCTCTTACCGAAGCGTAGCAAAACAGAGATGATTTTGGTAGAGGGGCTCTCACCAATCATTTAACGATACTCATCTGTCCCGTTTTGTCTTACGGACTCTCTCTCTTGAGCCCTGCCAGCAGCCGTACAGCAGCGTATATA